ACTCCCATAATGAGCAATTCCTAACCCTAACTAGTACCAACTCTCAATTCAACCGACTTGAGTACGCCGTAAAAAAAGTTTAAAGTAAAATCAAACGCAAAACAGTTGAGCTCATAATAAAGAACAATCTTACAGCCCTTTCATAAAGCAAACCATCTCCCGAAGGATATAAGCGAAGTTTGATGAAAAACGGTGAAGAAGATCAATCCAAGGGTAACTTTTATCGTTGAAACGATCAGAAGATGTTGTGTACAATGAGTGAGAGTTCAGTGAGGCTTTGGGGAATAAAAAACTCTCTTCAAGATCTCTCAATATCAAACCCTAGAACTTTTCCTCCGATCTCTCTTTTTCTATGATATCTCTCACATTTAGGTCAGGAAAAAGATATCTAAATGTGATAGAAGTTGGAGTATATATAAATAATGAACGTCTGTGATTAAATTAATAAACATATAATCTGTAGTTTTTACCATCGATGGTGCCTCTCGACCATCGATGGTGTCAAGAGACCATCGATGGTTGAGAAGCTATCAATGATATTCATGTCTCTAGACTTTTGCACCATCGACGAATCATAGTTCTATTGATGGTCATCACTCACCATCGATGGTCAATGACCTACCATTGATGGTAGTGGTGTTGGAATCAGATTTGAGTTGATTTTCACGCCATTTAGCCTTGTGTACATCAATGTTTTAAATATCGACTGATAAACTGATATTATTAGCAATTTATCGGTTTTGGGGGTCTTCCGCTATGATAAGTTTGATTCTAAATCGGTTATCGTTTTTAGATATTTATCGCCGATAAAACGGTGATAATGTGAGTTATCGGTCGATATTATCGGCCCAAAAATTAAAATTATCGATCTTCAGTTTGAGTTTTGATTTCGGACACAAGCACATATTCAATGCACTTTAAACCCGACCCGACCCGACCTGAGTGTCTACTATTGGTTAGTGATCCTAAACATAATTATTTATAATTTGGTATGTTTATAATTTATTAAGTATGATTAGATTATATTTTAGAATATTATATTATGTATATCACCATCCGGTAATGTCACTCCGATAAATACTACTTATCCCCGATATATCCCCGATATTCACTATCCGATATGGATTTTGACCGTTCGACAAATCCCCGATAATTGATATTTAAAACCTTGGCAAATCCCACATATGTATTTACCTGTACTACATCTTAAACCAATATTAATACCAAATGAGAGTTTTACCACTAAAATAAGAGATATTGTAGGAAAATATCCTAACAATCTTTTCCTTTTGATAGTAACTAACTTGAAATTTGAAATATCGAAAAATATGCATGTTTGAGATATATAGATAGCAAAAATATGTACAACAATACAAATACACTCTGATGCAATAAAAAATGTTACGCAATGCTCCCCTTACATTTATGAAAAGTGTAAATAAGCATAGGTATTGTAAAACTCCCCCCAATAACGCATTGAGTGTTTGTAAAAATTACAAAAAAAGTCAAAATGTGATACCACTTAGTAAAAGACTCCACTCATTCAAAAACTCATCAAATTTCAGAAACTCATCATATTTCACCAAATTCTCCCCCTTTAGTTATTATCAAAAGTGTAAAACATACCAATGGATATACTCAATACAAGAATAAAATCAGATAAAAAGCATCCAAAAGGTGTATGTGAGAGAAAAGACACACAAGTTCACATGAAATTTTGATAGAAAAATAGTACAAGAGATCAATATTAATTACAAGACACATGAAGACGAGAGAAAACACATCAACATGCACACACGAAAATATTAAATATCAGTGTAAAGTGCATGAATCTGATGGTGAAGAAACTTATACTAGATCATAAGACAAATTTAGGTATATCAAAATGATAAATGAGAAAAAATAAGACTCGAACTATCTCAACCATATCAACTAAGGAACAAAGTGTCACTCTATCATTTTAGCCGTATATAACTTAGAAGGAAGAACAATGTTGTTTGGTGGGCAATTCACACTATCTCTAAATATAAATTATATTAAATTATATTCAATACATGATGACTCCCCATTGAGATATGCACAAGCATGAATCTACAAGTGTGTATCTTTGACCATTTTTAACAAATACACTCAATTTTATGTGGGTTACTGAAGAGGGGATCATTGATCATCTTTTAACAAGTACACTCTTATTGTTTGTTTATATTTCTGACATAAATGCATTTTGTACATATATATAAAGATAAGTTCATGCATTAGCCAAGTCAGAGCTCAAAATCATATGATATAACCTGAAATATCTAAGAACAAAATATGACTCCAGCCTATTCCACAACACTAAACATGGTAAGTATGAAATACATACATATAGATTGAGAAACACATGTAAACCTGTGTATACCATTGAAAAAAATTATCTGAATCAATCTTGTAAAAGTATATGCATATGCATGTCCAAATATTTTTTTAAAATAAAAAAGAAAGAAAACAAAAAAAATTTTTCTTCATATTTTTCAAAAAAATGAAAGAAAAAGAAAAAACACACTAGAAAAAAAAATCTGCAGACAAAGCGCAACATGCTTGATATCAAAAGATAGAATGCCTAAATCTTTTCTCAATCTAGAAAAATGATCTACAAATAAAGGTTTTGTAAAAATATCTTCAAGTTGCTAATTATTGGGAATAAACTTAATTTGAACATTCTCCTTAGTAATGTGGTCTCTAATGAAGTAATGTCTAACACCTAAAAGTTTCGTCTGTGAATGGTATAATGGGTTGTTATTCAAATTAATAGCACTTTTATTGTCACATCTTAAAGGAATCTTCTTAAAGGTGATGTCGTAGTCCTGTAATATCAAAGACATCCAAAGGGCTTATGCACAACAACTACCTAATGCAATATACTCGACCTCTGTATTTGACAACACTATACAATTCTGTTCCCTACTCGACTAAGACATGACAAAATGTCCTAGAAGGTGTACTGTACTCGTGCTTTTCATATCTATATGACACCCAACATAATTACTATCGGCATATCCAACCAAATCAAAAGAATTGCATATCGGAAACCATAAGCTGAATTTTTGGATTCTAATGAGATATCAAAAATTCATTTTACGACTTTCAGATGTGGCTCTTTAGGATTTGCTTAGATTCTCGCACACAAACATATGGAGAACATAATACAAGGAACGATAAGAGACCGCTATCATTCCTTTGTATCTCTTTTCATCAATCGTTATTCCAGTTTCATCTTTTGTAAGCTTTGTCAAAGGCCTCGTCGATGTTGAAGCTGTTTTCAACTTATTCATGTCTAAGCATTTGAGAAGCTCTTTCACATATTTATTCTGTGAAATAAACACTCCATCTTTCATTTACTTTATCTAAAATCCTAGAAAATACTTTAGCTCTCCCATTATGCTCATTTTAAACTCGTTCTGCATTAATTTTTCAAACTTATAACAAAGGTTCTTATTAGTAGCTCCGAAAATGATATTAATGATATCATTAATAAATATACAATTGTACAATAAGAATATTTTTACTAACAAATTAAACAAATAAGGTATTATCAGCAAACCTCTTTTTAAAATTGTGTTTAAGAAGATAAGAACTTAAGCGGTCGAACCAAGCTCGAGGTACTTGTTTGAGACCATATAAAGCTTTATCTAACTTATAAACATAATCTGGAAAAACATTATTAATAAAACCAGTGAGCTGTTAAATATAAACTTCTTCTTTTAGGCACCCATTTAGAAAGATATCTTTTACATCCAATTGATAAATATTGAAACATTTATAACATGAAAAAAGCAAAATTCTGATGGCTTCAAGTCTGGCAATCGGAGCAAAAGTTTTATCGAAACTGACCCCTTCTATTTGGTTATAACTTTTAGCAATAAGTCTAGCTTATTTCTCGTGATATTACCTTTTTCATCTAATTTGTTTTTAAAGACCTATTTAGTTCCTACTATGGGGTGATCTTTAGGTTTCGGAAGTAAATTTTAAACTTTATTTTTATTGTGAATTGATTAAGTTCCTCTTGCATAACAATAACCTAAAATTTGTTATTTATGGTTTTATTCACATTCTTAAGTTTTATTTCAAAGGTGAAATTAACATAAGTATAAAACTCTCCAAGAAAGTAATGAAGATTTTTACCTTCACTTATCCTTGATGTTACCATGGAACAGTAATAATCATTCAAGCGATTGGGTGGATGACGGGATTTCTTTGGGATGATCTCTGGTTGACATTACTTGCTGATTGTTTGATTCTGGTGGATTAGAAATATTTTCTAAATCTTTAGAAGTTGTCTTCTCATCCTTGCCCCCAGTTTGCTCTTGATCATTCATCTCACTTTCCACATGTATCTTTTCTTGTCCAACCTGATCATTTGGGTTCATAACAAGAGCATTTGCATTAGCAACCAAATCGATAGAAGTGTGAGCTTCATCAAATGTAATATGAATAGACTCTTCAAGAATTCTAGCTCTTTTGTTGTGGACTCTATAAGCTTTGCTCCATCAAGAGTATCCCAGAAGCACACTCATCAACTTTAGAATCAAATTTTCCCAATTGATCTTTCATGTTTAAAAGATACTATTTGCAACCAAACACACGAAGATGTGACATATTTGGGGATATTTGATAGTAAAGCTTATAAGAGATCTTATTTAGCAACGGTCAAAGATAAGCTCTATTTTTACTTAGCATGCTGTATTAACCCCTCAGCTCAGAAGTGCTTTGGCAATTTATACCTATTTAACATTCTTCTAGCCATTTCCTGTAAAGCTTGATTCTTTCTCTCAATAACTTGATTTTGTTGAGGTGTTCGAGGAGGAGAAAACTCATGAGTGATTCCTTTGTTAGTACGAAATTCTTCGTAAAATTATATTCTTTTAGTGTTGTATTGTCCACAAATAAATGACTGTCTATTAAAATTTTCTACCGCTTGAATTATTAGATTGAATAACTTTTACTTTGTTTTTGTGAAGGTATTTTATTTCTTGTAAGGAGCAGAAGGTGCTGCCCAGCTATCCAGTTTTGTTCAGTTTTGTGAATGTATGTATTTCCATTAAGTTCTGTTCATGTTGATTTCTTATATCCTATTTTCCAGACAGTTTTTACTAGTATCCTTGTTATAGTTTTGTATTCAAGCTAGGGTTATTGATTTGCCTCTAGTCTTTCAAATGATCTTACACAAGTGAAATATTTCTTGCTACCTTCCTCTTCTTCACTTTGTATGTAACTTTCATCATCTTCTAATTCTGAATCAGATCCATGAAAGCAATGCAAATATATGGCAGACTATCTTTTTTTGTAATATGTGCAATTAGAGGCTACTACGATCTGCATGTGAAAAGAGGCTAAACTTTCACATCTCATTGTAAACGTTTAAAAAAAAAATCAAGTAGTTACCTGACCAGATTGAACTTGGCACAGAGTAACTTTTATTTTTGACCCCCATATAGAGTAGTTTCTGTATGTAACACTTAACATACACTATATGTGACTCTTGTATCATTGGGTATTTGAAAAATTTCCTTCTAATTGAGAACCAGAAAATGATGAATTTATTATATGAAGTTGTCGAAGTGACTTCTCTTGAGAAGCCTGCATAATTATTCATGATCAGGTTGGACCAATACTGGGATGTGTAATTGCCTAGGAAGTTTTGGTTTGAGTTGTTTTTTTATTTATTATTATTTATTTTAGGGAATTGGTTTGTGATATTGCAGAATGGTTCTAGAGCTAACACCACAGTAAAAAAAAAATACATATAAGTGCCACATGGAGCCAAATATATTACAAAACATAGGATTATCCCATGTAAGGATATGGGTGGGTGGGGGGGTGGGGGGTGCACTTCTTGGCCTAGGAATAACCTCTAGAATCCATGTGGTCCACCTTCGAGATCCCAGAACTTACTGAAGTTTTGGTATGGCGCGATAACCACTCAGTGAATGATCCAGATTAATATTATATCCCACAGTGAATATTCAGACATGTATATAATAAGGTTTGGAGTTTAGAATGTAGCTAATATAGGGAGTAACTATGAAGAAACTTCATATTTAGTGTACATACAATGTATTAAATATCGAAAATATCAGAAATATCGGATGGTCAAAATCCATACGGGTTGCGGAGATCAGAGATATATCGAGGATATGTAAAAAATATTGGGTGTCATATTAGATGATGTCCATATGAAACACAATATTGTAGTATGTAATCAAAACATATTTAATGTAGTCTAAACATGAGAAATTGCATCATGAATAATGATATACGACGTTTAGAGACATTAGATGCTAGTAGAGGTTAGAGAGAGAAGACATGAATAGAGGAGAGAGGAAGACAGAGAGAGAAGGGAGAGAGAAGTTGAGAGAGAGAGAGAGGAGAGAGGAAGAGAGAGAGGAGTCTGAGGAGGAGCTGAGAGAGGAGAATTGGAGAAGAGAGGGAGTATGTGGAGAGCGAGGAGAGAGATTCGTACTTGAGATCGCCTAGCGTTTTTAAATTGTTGTGTCGAACGAAGAGGGAGAAGGAATATGAGATTGACTAAGGATTTAGGGTATTTGGGTTTGGGAATTTACTAAGTTTTCGGGTCTGGTGGGAACCAAATCCAAACCCAAACTCAATAGCCTTTTTTCATTTGGATATTAGCCAATATCGGCCGATATTTCCTCAATGAAATATCGGCTGATATTTCCGATATATCAGAAAAAGTGGTAAAAATCGGAAAATGATATTTTTTCATAACTATCGTATTGCAAGAGCATCAAAACTAATATATCGGTCGATATAGCGATATATCGACCGATATTTAATACACTGTGTACATGTGAGAGAGTAGTAATAGGATGTTTGACCTCCTGAGAAGCCATCTTTTTGGGGTATCGTCTTTTGGTCGTACTTTTTTTTGATAATCATACCACAAAAGAAGTACAAATAAACAACTTTAATAAGCATATGGTACTTCAGTAATAGTAAAAACTGAAAGCACCACCTTAAGCATTTTTCTGGCTGTTGCCTTCTTTAAGCCTATGGAATTTGTGTAGCTTCCTAGAGGATTCTATCCATGCATGATAAGTCATCAGTGTACAAGAAGTTGTCTCAAAATGCTCTATGAAGCAAATAGTACTCCACCTTTTGAGTACCTGTTTGTTTGTCACGTTACTGTTTATCTTTATTGTTATCTAGTTGTCCCCATCCTTGCCCTGTTGAGCGCCAAATGCCAGTTTAGTGCACAAGAATCTACAATGCTATTCGATGGCACTTCTTTATTATCGCAGCTTAAAACATCTATGTCATAATCTTATCATTACTCAGTTTCTTTTTCGTTCAACATGCTGTTGGGGCTAGACAGTTGGTCAAATTATTATCATGTTCATTCTGTGGCAGTACCAATCAGTGTTATCAATGCGCGAGGCGCAATGCGGGGAGCAAAACATCTTTATGCGCACATGTGTAAGGAGCAACGTGATGCGCGTGTCCGAGTGATGCGAGGCGCACACCGCCCACATAATTTTTTAAAATACATAATCAAGCGCGGAAGAACATGTTTTTAGAATTCACATGAAAAATGTCATGATAAATAATATCTTACTATAAAATCACAATATAATGCCTTAATTTCTAATGCTAACACCTAACATAGTAGCAAAATTCATAAATTTTCATATCAAATGTTAAATCAAGACTAATATCTAAGCAAAGGATTAGTAATGGTCCTCAATTGAAGGCTACTAAAAAGGCCTAATGGATTTATTTTGTTTTTTTGGGATATGTAATATCAAGTATAAAGACTCGATTGAAATGTTAACAAACAAAACTATATGAGGATATGTACTACATGCACCATGCACAAAGTAAGGATGTACGCGAGGCGCAACAGGCGCTACTGCATCAGAAGTGGGGCGCTTCACCACCACCCTGCATCGTAAGACACCCCGCATCGTAAGGCGCATGAGGCGCGCGCCTTTGAGAACACTGGAACCAATATTAAGATTACACTACTATAATGCCGATCTATGCAGTTTAATGTTTCACTACACAGGCCATTATGAAATTCCAGACTGGAGCCACCATCTTTTGCCCTTTTCTATATTTTTTATTTCCATCTGCCTAGCAGTACGTTTTATGCAGAGAAATATGATTTTATTGTGTTTTTTTGAATTTATTTACATAACAATATCTTGATTTTCCTAATTTTAAATCTAACTAAGAATGACTCCAGTAAAGCGCGTACAAATATCACTCTGAATCCTACTTGTTAGTTAAGAATGGCTGGGTTAAATTTGACTCCATCAAATTATATAGTAACTGTTTTTACTAAATCTTCTTCTTGTTATCTTTTTTATGAGTAATAATTTTGTTCAACATTTATTTATATTTTGATCTTCTGATATTCAGTTGAAACACCAAGATTTTCGGATTCTGGAAATTTTCATTGACGAGTTGACATGTTCCGATATTCTTCCGCTAGTGGCTGCATTTTCTTCAGGTGGCCTTTCAGATATTGATGCAGTTGATGTATGTCAAAAATCATCCAATCCATCACTTACTGGAGAATGTATTTTATCGTTACTTCATGCTGTTAACCCAAAGCTTCGGGTTGTTGACCTCATTGACTGGTCACTTTGGAAAGATATTCTTCAGTATGTATCCTTAAAACTTTTCCATTTCCTTTGGTTTCATTTTTTCTTATTCTTAGGGTACAAATTATCATTATCATTTCAAATATATCAATATATCTTAATATTAAGAGACAAGTTCAGCACTTCCTCTCCTTAATACTACTTGCTATCATGCATATGGGCACAACTTCCTCACTCTTGGTATAAGTTATTCTATTTATTACACAAGTGGGGAGGAGGAAAGAAAATGGTGATATTCCATTAAAGAATAGTCAAGTTTGATCTGATTGGCCTTCCAAACTAGATATCATATCTGAAGAAACCACAAGATGCTGCTGTGCAAAGGGGAAAAGAAGCCTTAGATGAGAATTTGGATTTTCATTCTGATGCTATGTGCTCTTATCTTTATTATGACTGATCTCTGCGATAATTTATGAACTAAATTGGTCTACTTCTGATGCATAACCTCCTTGTCTGCATGACCTCTGATCAGGTTTTATCCTGATGCAGGCACAATCATTGAAATTGTGCCCAAGTATATAAGTGGAAAAAAAGCAACTAGTTATATATATTAGTCCAACAATTTTATTAAATAGATGAACAGAATGGTAGATGGAAACAGGAAATGTAAGCAGAAATTTTAGAGACATATTGGAGGATGCTTACATATGTTCTGTTCAACACAGATGTATGTTATATGCATCTGTCATAAAACATAGGCATTTATTGTTTACATGAATAAACTAAAAATTCATCCATTTTTTCCTTTTGGAAAGTAAGCTTATATTTTATTGATTAGCGATCGCATTGATTTTATCCAACTAACATTTTGGCTTCTATAGATAATGCTTATATCTGAGTATAAATCATTCCCCTGATAGAAAAAACTTGTAATTGATCATAAATGTTTAAGGATGAGATGAGACTGCATTTGCATGTGGCCTATCCCACTCATAATGTACACTAGAGCCAGCTTTTTCCAAATCATATATATTTACAAATTTGCAATTGCTGACTACTCATTTTAATCCATGTTTTTAGATTGAATGTAGTGCTACTTAATTGTGAACAAATATTCTGTTGGTTCAATGTTCATGCATATGGGCATTTGACCTAAATCGTATTTGTATGCTCCTTCGTGACTTGCTAAGGGACCGGAATATTTTCAAAGAAAGTAATTTGGAAATGGTGTTGCCATGTGAAGCAAAGAACAATATTCTATTCTAGGACTGACCCACCTACAAATGCCAACATCTCATCTTTTTAGGACCGAATGGTTTTTCTAGCTTGAAGATGGTTATCCACTCTTTAACAATACATGAAAAGTGTGTTTATCAGAATTGAGCAGAATACGTAGATTGTCATTGAATGCCAATTTTCAGAACATAACATGCAATTTTTCCTGATCATGACGATGCATGTCAGATTGCTTTATGCCAACTTTATGCTTCTGATGCCTTTGTTAGCTTCCAAATTTAGCATACTCTCCTGTGTTCAGTATTCCATCAACATAGTTCAACGTATTCTATCAACATGATGGATACGTTCTCCTCCTTCACCTGCATGATCTACGAGATTAGAATTCTATATGTTTTATTATTCAATTACCTGAAATATCTTAGCTGTCAAGCATGATTTACTTTTTGTAGATTTGATATTTGTTAGGAATGCTGATAATCATTTAACCTTTATTTTAAACGTTGAACTAATGAATATTCTTTCTCTTAGAGATATTTGCCACAGAGGCCTGGCATGTCAAGTTTTGAATTTAAGGTTCTCTCCAATTCGGGAGCTTGAATTGAATGGAAAATTCATGCAGCTGAACACACTCAACCTGGATTCTAGTATTCATTTAACCAGCTTCCAGATTAATTGTTTTAGTTGCATGCCACAACTAATGCATGTGTCTATGTGCTCAACACGAGTGTCCAACCTTTGGACAACAACTGCCGCATTACTGAAACTCCCCTCTTTGGTGGAACTCCGGTTCCAGAGCTGTTTGTGTTGTTATGGTACTGGGCCATGTCCTAAATCTGGCGAATGTTCAAGAAGACCATACAGGAAAAACCAATTTGCTCAGCAACATTCATACACCTATGCAAGACAACTCTCTTTGATCAATGAGAACTTTTTACTTGAAAATCTGCAGTATATGACAGGACAGACTCCAAGTGATCTACACTCTGATGATGATTTCTACACAGATTATATTTTTTCTCAAACAATGGCTGAGGAATCATCAGATGAGGGTGAATCAGATTTTTCGAGAAGACATGGTGTTGGTAATTGGGAAGAAAGATTACATGATGCCACTCTTTATTTTCATGATTATACCAGTTTAACACCATATGCACACAATAATATGTTAGATAGTGGTAGTTCTTCAATACACGCATCATACCAGCTTCTGGAGGCGATCACACATTCTAGTAGAGGAATGACAAATGGTATTTCAGAGATTGATGAGCTTCGAGGTCTGAATAATAATAACAATCTAACTAGGCATGCATCGCTTGATGAATTTATTAGTCAGTTGACCTCCATCAATAATTACTTCACCAGTAAATTCTCAAATGAAAATCATGAATGTTCTTCAGTTAACATGCTTGACTTGAAAGATACTATAGGAACCTCAGAATTTGCTCCAGAAAGGCCAACTTCACATAATCCTTCACCCATTTGCTTTGAGAAGTATTACCGAGAGTATATATTATCTTCTCTGGCTCGTCTGAAAGTTTTAGACAATTTGCCTATAAAAGAGGCGGAGAGGGAGAAAGCAAACGAAACAATTAAGAAATATTATGAGCATATACCATATAACAGACGTTTCAAAGAAAGTGTTCTTAGTATTTTGCAAAAGCGTGAAGTAGGAACAAGTGGAGCTTCTTATAAATATTCTCAGTCGAAACAGCCATATTCTAGAGGAAGTTCTCATTTGTACACCAGATCACTAGCTGCTGCAAAAGTATCATCTTCTCAGAGGCCTCATTTCCATTCAATTTCCAAGTTTAAAAGTCTAATTGAAGGAATTGAGGTTTTCCGCCCACGTCAATTTGAATATCATCCAGCTAACCCTAGCCTCATGGCTTTTGGGACACTGAATGGAGAACTAGTCATAATCAATCACGAAAGTCAGAAACTTGTTGGGTATCTACCATCAGTTAGAGCACTTCATAGTGTTCTTGGGCTCTGTTGGCTCAAAAAATATCCATCCAAGGTATGTTATTAATTATTACCAAAATCATTAGTTGCATTTGTCAACAGTTAATTTCAAGTATCTCATTATAGACAATGATAACCTTACTCGTTATAGACAGTTCCATGTTAATTCACTTCTTAGTAAATTCTCTGATCGTTTTTGGTTTTCTTCTGAACAATAGCTCATTGCTGGCTCTGACAGCGGTTCTTTGCAATTGTATGATGTGAGTAAAATGGCATCAACTGTTACCGATCGATTTTGCGTTCTGGATGCTTGTGTGCACACTTTTGATGAATTTGAGCAGTTGACATCAGTTCATGTAAATTCCACTGATGACTATTTTCTGGCAAGCGGTTTCTCCAAGCATGTTGCTTTGTATGACATAGGCAGTGGAAGGCTGCTTCAGTATCTTAAAGATTTGCATCAAGAGCATATTAACGTTGTCAAGTTTTCTCACCATTCCCCCATGGTATTTGCTACTGCATCCTTTGACCAAAATGTTAGAATGTGGGATCTAAGACAGGGTATGTCACGACCTTGTTACACAACTTGCAGCTCAAGAGGAAATGTTATGGTCTGTTTTTCTCCTGATGATCATTACTTACTATCTTCAGCCATCGACAATGAGGTAAGTTTTAGCTACTATTGATTGCAGGGTGACCTTTATTTGATGACAGTGGTCTAACAAATATCTGATGCAGGTGAAGCAACTTTTGGCTGTTGATGGAAGACTTCATATGCAATTTGATATTGCTTCCATTGGAAGTTCTCGAAATTATACTAGATCATATTACATGAATGGAAGAGACCATATTATAACAGGGAGTTGTGAAGAGAATGTTGTTCGTGTTTGCTGTGCCCAAACTGGAAGGAGGCTAAGAGATATTTCTTTCGAGGTGACAATAACCTGTGTTTATTAGCACTGTTAAACTCATTAACTTGTGATATATGATTAGTTTCTGGACTACTTTGACTCTAAATATTTTATCATAGTTCCAGTAGCTTACAAAGCCATACATATAACTTTTGTTAGGTCAATTAAGCTTGTTCCTTGTTGCAATCTTTATAATGACATCTATGATTCTTGACAAGAAAGTGATTGGTCTAGAGAGTAGTGTTTTCATTTTTATACCCATATAATTGGTTGTTGATTACAAAATGGATAAGAAAGTTCTTCCATCCTCTAGATTACCTGAACTGAGCCCTTTAGCTGATTACCAAATGGGTAAGATTACCTATTTAGGCAACAAATTAGAAACCCAATGTAACCCTCTGATCCAATATATGGAATAATTTAAAGTGAAAATATCCAAGCGCAGATCCCTTTAAACCTGAACACTCTTCTCTGCTCTCCATCTAATGGTGCTGTCCTTCCCAAGTTGGCCTGTATGTGAACATGGCCTCTTTCCTTCCTGCCGGCGGACTATATGTTAGAACACAAGCCTACTAATTTATCCAGTATTGACCTTCCTTCCAATATCTTAGCCTCCGTTAGAATGCAGTAACATGTATCAATATTCTTTTTTGACAAGCACTTGATAATTTATTCCTTAATGGGTTTGAAAAGTAATGAATTGGACAGTTCTGCGGCTTAGTCTGAGTACAAATTGGACACATCACACGGTCATTATTCAAGGAAAAATTCTTCCATCCCCTAGATTCTTTTGGCCCCATTTGCCCCCTCTTTTCATCGACGTTTGTTGAGTACAAAAACAACATAGGAATTAACAAACTCCCTCCCCTCCACTCAAATGATAACTGATCTCTTCTTTTCTTATCTAAACAAGACCCAAAATGCTCAAACTCATTTCATATGCTCAAAACTAATCAAAGCCCATAAATGCAGAAACTCATATGTTCGCCAAACTTACTGATAGATCCTTTAACTTATTGATTCTTCTCGAAATTAAATCGACACCTTCAATTGAACTTGAACCCAAACATAATTAAGTAGAATTCAAAGCAAGGGCAGATCCACATGTATTTGAGGCAGGGCAAGTGCCCTACCTCAAATATGAAACCTCTATTAGTTATCTAACTAAGCTCCTTTACAGTATACTAACAACAAAAGATGGGTGCCTAATCTCATTTGCATATTCTTCTTTCCACTACCTTATTGAAATGTAATTAAATATTATAATGATATTGGTAATTTTGAAACTTATTGTTACATCAACCCTCACTTTCTGATTTTCATAAGTTGTTTTTTTCAATAATTCATATCAAAACTTAATGTGCTAAATTTATAGAGTACGGAATTTTCATTTAAATATATATTTTTGTTAAATTGTGAATATTCTTAGTTTTATGGCACTTACATGTATTTTATGCTTTCATAATTGTTATTTCGCTTGCTTTTAAGCAATGCTTATGAAAAAAAATCGGTCCCAGCGATATCTGCTTGTGTGCCTAAACTTGAATGAACGCTCCACGTCTGGTTCAAAGTGTGGATGGATCTGAGTTGCAGAGCACAAGATCTGATTGCTAAAGATGTTTCTTTTACAAAGAAATCCCGTATCCTCCTCTGAGCATCATGATGCTTCATCATTTTCATTTTGTTTTCTTTTTTCATGGTGATCCCGTGAACTTCATGAGAAATTGGAGTTTGTTAAAAGGAGCCACACTTGGTTAAGGAATTTTGACTATCTATGGTTTTCAGTTTTCATGAAATGACTTCTTTTTATAAGAGAAGAAAGAGCTGAAGTAGGGTGACTGAGAGACAGATGAAAGCCATCTTTTTGGAGGAATTCTAATCATTGATAATTTTCATGAAAACTTTGCTGCTTTACAATATGCAGATTGCACTTTAATTCTCTGCGTTCACCATGTAGCAAGTTAAGCCTATAGCAGGGTATACCATAGGTATATATCATTAATGCAAAACATGGAAATAGTCTTCCTCATATAGTACATAGTACGTCTGTTCTTGCAAGCCTGCCGGGAAGGATTGTGGACTAATGAATAGAAAGATAAATATGATATGTTAAAGATCATTATTTTCTATAACTACGATATGCATCTAGATAACATGTTTATTAATGGAAATCTAACGTGGTCATTGCAGGGTAACAGTTCTAGATATTCTATGTATGTGCAATCTTTAAGAGGTGATCCATACAGGGTAAGACCTTTACTGTTAGCTATGTGCTTAAGAAAATAAATTTCCAGCTTTTTAAGTTACATACTGCGCTAATCATTATTCTGAGGGCTACTTTTAATTTTTTCACATCTATTCTGTAGGCATACTATAAGATCTAGGGTTTGCTTTTAAAGCATTTAGGTTTAATCTCAATAAGAAGAGTGTAAATACAGTTGGTAGAAACTGAGATCTTATCCCTCTCAATAGCAGTTCTTTACCATAACAGACTGTATATGTTGATCCTGTGTTGCTGCTTATTAGATTCTCGTAGCATCATTTGCTCTTAAATTTCCTATCACAGCGACGATGCGTTCTACTTGTATTTAAACTTTTGAGGAGTTCACTCTCCCTTGAAGTGGCAATACCAGGTACCGACTACGAGTTATTTGTCTTCTCCCTTGAACCTTCACTTTTGGCATCATGAATTAGGAAATGATGGATTACAGATTTATTCAGTGAGCTGCAATCTAATGTACTTGATGGTGCAAAATACCATTCAATTAGTTGAGCTGGCACCGGTAGTTTGCAAGTTAATGTGATTTATTTATTGCTGTTTTTCTTTCTCTCATCAATTTTTTTACAAGTTGTTTCCCTGTTGTGTAGGGGCATGTGACTGATTACCAGAGGTTCACAGTTAGATACATTTGATTATTAGGTGAAAAACTGCATCTTGAGGTTCAATGCATTAGTTGCGTTGGATTGTCATATATAATTATTAGACAAACTACGGTGGCATGGTTTAGAATAGGTGACTAAGTCCATTATCATCAATATGATTGCAATTCCTTTTTTTTTTTGAAAAGATATGATTGCAATTCCAAGTCGTTGATCACAAGTTGGTATCAGTTGGAATTCTGTAGTCATTTGGCATAAATTTTCTGGGGTGGAGGTTTGCAGTCTCAGACTGTCAAGAGTTCTTGTATATGACCGAGATCAGCAGGTTCACTTCAATATTGTTTTGTGGGACCATTAAAATACGTAGAGCTATAGTGTTCTTATAATTTATGTATGAAGAAGCTCCATATTTTTTTAGCGGAATGGTAGAAGTGGCGATAACCATACGATGTGATGGTTTTCAATATCACAACCATATATTGAAAACTAAAACTAATTGCTTGTATTCTTGTGTTGTGATGAGTCACCTTGCTCTTGTTTATTTTTTTAATCTCATCGTTACTCTTTAATTTCTTGCTTACTTCCTAATTATCAAGAAATATTCCCTTTTTGTGGTCGATGAATAAAACTTTTCTTCACCAAGTAAATGTTATATGTACATTACAACAACTCAGGCATTCCCGAGCGATTACGTTTACCTTCTTTATGTATGTGTATAAACACAAGAATAGACACCACTATGCCATCTTAAATATTTGATCCACCCAGTATATTGCTGCCTGCTGAGGGATTTGGAAATAGATGAAGTAGAGACCTTAATTCTCTTTATCAGCCATCACAACTAGCTGCAGCATTCGTGTGTACTGTAGCATTTCTTTCAAACCATAGCCCACACAGTGTTGCAGCAACAATTATTCTCTTAACAGCTGCTCTGTAATTCTTCTTCTATTGATTAATATAGTGCATTATTGTATTCCACGCACAGCTTCTCATCTTAAACCCAGACAATATCATGATTTGATTCCTCACCTCAGCTGTGAACACACTCTCAAAGAGCAAGTGTTGCTGAGTCTAAACAGAAATACAACATCAGCAGCATGAATTATCAGTCAACATCCCTATCTTATATAATCTTTCTTTAGTTAATAACCTGTCATGAGAAATTAATCAAAGACTGATGCCAACACACCATCTAAAAGGAATGATATCCTGATTAGCTCTAGATATAATGAACTTCTCACCTGTGCTCCGTTGTTGTGTTTTCCTCATTAACTCAGTACTAGTACCAATTACAACATCTCTAGCATGCAAAATTTGCTTTCAACCCCATGAATCAATGGTTCTATTTTGAACTACCCGAATATTCACCCTTCTTAGATAGGGGCCATGCACCCCACCCACATTATCCGTAGCATTTCTTTATTTAAACAAATAGCCATATCATTTTGGAAGCTGCTGCTAAAATCCAGTAATAAGCAGAAAATACACCAAGGCCACCATGCTGTTTGTCGTTACATAGTTGCATCATGATTGCTTCCCCGAAGAGATCTCCTACAAACCTCGTCAACTTAGGAACTTTTCTTGGTAGAAGCAAGTTACTAGACCAATATACCAAACAATACAGTTTTAATTAATTGGAGTCTCCTTGCATGAGAAAGTTTTCTACTTTGCCTTCACTGAATCTGCATGGTGATCTTTGAATGAGGGCATCACAATCACTGTATGAAAGCCTATTACTGACCCAAGATACTTAAAATATGTAGATAATCCTCTGTATAGCAATGAGTCTGACATATGAGCTCTCTATTCTCCTTATTACCCGCACCAAAATATATAACACACTTTGTAGGATTGGCATTGTTGAATCTGCATAGTGATCTTTGAAATATTCCCTTTTCTTTATGCAGCTTTTCCATATGAGTGTGTTAGCAGCATATATGCACCCTAGTACAAGATCTGAGATCATAAAGGTAGCGTATTTACAGTGTTCCTTATAATAGATCATCTGTTTTGAGTTTAGGGACAATTGTGGATAGACCTCCTGTAGTATTGCGGTTTTTACCTTTACAGCCACTCTAGTTTTATTTTATGATAAACCCCTTGATTGAAAATGTTTTGACTCTTTGACCCTTACGGGGTCTATTTATCAAGTAAACTTCTCTCTTGATGGCAAGAGTCAAAAAAAATTTCACTTAGGGTCCTATCTGCAAAAATAAAACTAGAGGGGTGTTAATTAAGGTCAAAACAGTGACACTATGTTTTGCGTTGCGTTCGTTGGTATTATATAGGTGAACTTGCTGGAATCTGGGGATCATGTTGAAGGAGACTCTTTTGAGCACGGACATTCTGCCTCTAGTATGGGTGGTTGATTTATCTTTCTATTTAGTATGCAAGTACATTGTATATATATGACTAGTGTATGTATTTGAAGTTTAAGCATTTCGTGTCATATTTCGTGTCATGTTGAAGCCTTAAGATGTGTAATCAGCATGTATCATTCTTGTTCACTTTCTCTTGCATGTTATATAGCTGCCAACAACATATTGAAAGTTGTTTTTCATTACCCGGGCGGAGTTGAGTTTTTAGAATATGGTTGTTCTTTTTAAGTTTCAGGTTTATGGGTTTGCTTATTGCATAACCAGTTCTGGATGTGCTTGATTACTTGTAGTTTATACCGTCTAAAATCATGATAAATTATTGTTCAAAGCTTTAAGGAAATGGCGATACGAGTAATGTGCTCAAGATGGAAGTTTGTCCGTTCTTTCACGTGCCTCATTTCTGCGCTTTGCTCTCTCATTATCAATTTCCCTACGAACTTGTTTCGAAGTCTGTTTATTGCTCTGCGCACAAAAGCTAAAGTGGTGACTACTGAAGAACCTAAAGATATGGCATGAAATGCTTAAACATACACACGCACACGCACAAAATGGTTTTCCCAAATTCTTTGAGCTTGGGTACATGTATACTTCCTGATGCAGCTCCAGACACACCTCTGTTAACAGAAATTTTTAAGGACAAATTTTCAAAACCACCCTATTTGAACATTTAATTCCAAAAGACGACCTATTTTGAACTTATTTGCAAAAACCGACTTGGTTTCAGCATTGGCGTTAAAACCAGATCGGTTTTTGTGAAAAAGCTTCCGAAAGTTTAGTGAAGATGTTAAACTTCACAGGAGTTAAACTCCCGTGAAGTTTAATGAAGTTGCTAAACTTCACGGGAGTTTAACTCCCGTGAAGTTTCGGAATTAAAAAAAAAAAAAACCGATTTGGTTTCAGCGTCAGAGCTGAAACCAGGCCGGTTTTTGAAAATAAGTTCAAAACAGGTTTTTTTTGGGATTAAATCTGGAAATAGGTTGGTTTTGAAAATTCGTCCAAATTTTTAAAGAAACAATAGAGAAAGCAATTAAGTGTGAACAAGATGAGGAAGGCGGCCTCTCCTTGTAACAGCTAGCCTAGGCATAACTACCAAAGAAAGCACCCGAAATAAGTTATAGGGATACAAATATGTGATGTGAAAACTCATCATAGATAACACTAGAATGGGGAGAACCATGGTGAAAATGTATTTAATGCGGCCGGTTAATGGTATTAATGGTGCACTAAAGAGATATTAATTACCGGATTTAGAGATTGGTGCCCTTATTCAAGAGTTGATATCCCTTTGTCGCACTATTAATGTGGACCAAATGCAATGGGTACTTCCGAAGACAAATGCTTATAATGCTGACTGTATCATGGGTATCCGAACATCAACATTAGCTTTCAACATCCAGTCGGTGAGGGTATCAATCGCTCTTTCGTGAATAGGAGTCCGTTCTATGAGTAGTAGGAAGGAATAATCATAATTTTGTTAATCGGAATATTTGTATTACGAGAATCCTGCCGCAATGGAAAGGGTCTTTGTTATTGTAGAATTTGTACAACTGATCTGAACCATTTTCATGTTTTCCTTGCAAATTGCCTACAGCAAAGACTAAGGTCTCTTTTGGCAAAGGTTTTAGGAAAATAGATTAAAGAGAAGGATTAACATTGTTAGCTAATTTGATAACCTGAAGGGTTAAATTGTTAACTCCTAAAGTAATACTTATTTTAACTCTTGGTATCATTTTTAGTGCTTGTGAATGATGAGAATTTTGACTATTTTATGTAAAAATAAAGGGGTTATCTGGTAGTCTGCCTAACTAGGAATATTAATAATCCTTACTTGAGGGATTAACTCATTTTAATCCCTCCAGAGGGGTAGTCTAACTTTTTGGTATTTGGGAAATTATAGAGGATTAACTCTTAACCCTTGTGCAGATTTTATGTGTTTGACAAGTTAAGAAGGGGTTAAGTCTCCTTAACCCTTCACCTAGCTCGTTGCTAAACTATGCCTAAACAAACCTGCAGGGTGCATCCCAAAGAATACTGTGGTCATTGATATTGCATTGATTTTCTTGCTAAAAAAAATACTAACACGAGTTATTAGGCTCAAACAGTTTAGTTTCAAAATGAACTACCAAAATATTAGAATAATTGTGAAACTTTGTTTTAATTCATATGCGCGCATATATATGTATGTATGTATGTGTGTGTGTGTGTCTGTGTGTATGTGTGTCTATGTGTGTTTGTGTGTGAGAAAAAAAAATGTGTGTGTGTGTGTGAGAAAAAATGTGTCAGCTCTATGGCATGTAACCCCCCTGAGCTGATAGTCTATTTTGCAAAATGGGTTGCCAACTCTATGGCATGTGAGCCCCCTGATAGTCACATCGGTTTGGGGGCTCACATGTAAGTGGCTTAACAGCCCATTTTGCAAAATAGGTTGTCAGCGCCTCACTACCTACGTGGCCTGATGCAATATTGTTGTGTGGTGCTCGTGGGCGGTGGGGGCGGGGGGTGGGGGGGGTGGGGTGTGTGTTAAACTCAAAATATTGAGGAAACCTCACTCTCATGTATATATAAATATGTGTGTGTGTATAGAAAACAACATATTGTTTCTCTACCTTATGAAGACAATTTCAAAGAAAAGGACATTCCTATTTTGTAAAACCCACTGAATCCATTGATAAAATTTTGAAAGAGCTTAATAAGCTAATTAAACAAAGTAATTACTCAAACATACTGCTTGCGAGAAAAATGCAAGAAAAATGTGAGAAATAAATTTGTATTAATCTCCCTAACTGACTTAGAAAAAGAATGAATACAATCTCTCATAATAATCTCTCTCTAACTGACTTAGAAAAAAATTACAATTTCTCTTATCGGTTTCCCGATTTACAAAAGAGAGAAGGAATCGACGGAGATCCTTCCCTTTATTTAAAACTTGGTTCTTCTTGGTAACTATGGGAGTTTGAATCTTGTATCCCGTTGACGATCCGAGCACCTCGCTTCGTGGAACGTTGTCTATTCCTCTTGACTTGACATCAGGAAGAACTTGCAAGGCAAGTTTTGAACTCCCAACGAGTTTAAGAACTCTGGATGAGTTTAAGAACTCTGTAAAAGAGTTAATTTTAGAAAGGAAATTAATCATTTTTTAACTGAAATAATTCAGTAATCAATTTCCAAGTTCTTCAACTGAAACACGGTTCAAAAAGCCAATGCAAATTGCTCCAAAGCTTCAACAAAAGCCTTCATAAAAGCTCCAAAGAGTGTCGACCTCCAAGATGATCCAAAAAGATCCTTTTGTAGCTGACTTCTCATCTATTTATAGGGGTTGAAGGGGTGTAACCGACCCCTTAAATCACTCCTTAATGAGGCTTTAATTCCCTTAATACGTGCAAAATGGTTTTGGAACTGTTTAAAATGTGTTTTAATGGGTCAAACACGAGGTTCGCATTCTGAAAATGACCTTCGCGTCTAACTAATGAAACAAGGAGCTGAGCTTCGCGTTTGAAGCTTGGAACACGGTAGTGAGCTACATGTTTTGAACTTAGAACGTGGTAGTGAACTCCGTGTTTTGAACTTGAAACGCGAAGGTGAGCTCCGTGTTTTGAACTTGAAACATGGGGATAACCCTTGCGTTTTGGGTTGAAGAGATCGTCAATTTGTAATCTCTTTTTTCGAGTGTTGCAAGAATCGTCATCTTGTAATCCTTGTATTCAGCTATTTAAAATATGAGAGTTGTCAATTTATTACTCTCATATGTTGTTGTGAAGGCTGTCAGATCGTAACCTTCGTCTGTTGATATGGAAGTCGTCAGATTGTAACTTTCATCATCTATTATCATGAAAGTTGTTAGATTATAACTTTCATCACTCGATGTGAAAGTTGTCAGATTATAACTCTCATCATCAGTGCTTTGTGGGGATCAGCTATCCACAATAATTTTTAGATAGCCTACAAAACCTTCTCCAAAGTTTTCAAAAGTTTACGGTTGATTGGAACAAATTTTTAAAATACTTTGGATCTCGATTTTGATCTTGGAGTTGTTGATTCCTCATCATGGAAGACTTATTCAGTACATCCGTTTCGAAGGTATCATGAACTTGATTAAAGGGATTTGCTACTCAAGACCCGTGCAAGGGTGAGCACCATGCTTTTGCTTCAGAAACGCGGAGGTGAGCCTTGCGTTTGGCTTCTGAAAATGTGGAGGTGAGCCTCGCGTTTGTCTTGTGAAATGCGAAAGCGAGCCTTGCGTATTGCCTTTGAAACGCAGAGGTGACCTCCATGTTTTGATATTAGAATGCGGGGTGACCCTCACGTTTAGAATTTGGAATACGGGGATGACCCTCGCGTTTTGAATTTGGAACGCGGGGATGACCCTCGCGTTTGGAATTTGTAACGCGGGGATGTTCCTCGCGTTTAGAATTTGGAACGCAGGGATGACCCCCACGTTTTGAATCTGGAACGTGGGGATGACCCTCGCATTTTGAATTTGGAACGCGAGAATGACCCTCGCGTTTGGAATTTGGAACGC